TCAACATGTTAATACCAGTCTAGAAATAGAACTTTATTGTTTATTTTTATATTTTTCATTCATACATTTAATTATGAAACATGCTAAACATAGCTTTTATTAGTCTTGTCTGAACATGCACATTCAGAGAAATAGGCATAGTTGGAAAAATGATAGATGTCATCTCTCTATAATCTCATAAAAATTAAACAATATGCAATGTAATAATGTATAATAATAATAATTCATAGTTTAAAAATAAAAATGTTTTGGTCTATTTAGTAATGTTTTATTTACTATGCATTAATCTATGCACCACCCATCCAAAATACATTTTCAATTCAACATAAAATACTTGGTACTGTACTAAGATACATTTTTTTTATTAATAAAGCAATTGAAACACTAATGACAATTTTTATTCAAGTATCATAATAATCATATTAATTTATTTATTCATGAAAAACAATACATAACATTTTTAATTATATAGAAAATAAAAAATTATACTTCCCAATGAGCATTTTTAATTTGTTTTTTTAATAAAAATATTGTAATATAAGGAACTAATATAAAATTTCCTAAAAAATAAAGTCCAAACACATTTTACTTTTTTGACCAATCATAATTTTCAATTTGCTTGAATTTAGAGTTTAAATCTAATATTTATTATACTCATGTTAAATAGTACAAATCCTAATGTCCGTTTTAATCATTTAGAAAAAATATTTTTAAAATAAAGCCCATAAATATGATTGTTAATTGAAATTCACATTATTTTTCAGTCTACAATTATTAATATGTTTATGTCAAATGGTTCACCTTCACAGTTCACACTAACATGGCTTAAATATTATACATATATTAATGTAATATTAGAACCGTTGAATATCATAGTATCATACGCCAGTTGAATAAATTATACATCATACTGCCCGCCATCAATGCTTTGAGCCCCTGGGCCTAACGAAAATAATGATTTCTACAGTTTATTGCTAATTGCTATAAACATTAGCTGCTAATAACTAAAAATTAATGATAAGCATTAAGCTATCAGCTGTTTTTACAAAATAGCAATAGCTACTATTTTTTACTGCTATTTTAAAATAGCAATAGCATTGGCAGATGTTAAAAAAAAAAATAGCAGTTTACCATCACTATTCATTCATATCAATGTTTGGTCAGCGCGCGTATCATACGCTCTAGTGTGAAATGGGCCTAAAAGTGTTGGTTCCAGTTTGTTATTCAGACCTTATTGATATGGACAAGAAGTGAATTTCCGGCCGATAGTTACAGTCTTTTGGTAGATAAAAATAGTATATTTTCGTCTGACCTTGTCAAAGCGGCCGATTCCCAGCTAACCGTTATTATTGTTGTTCACTCGCTGCCATATCATATACGGCGGCCCGTACCATCTTATCGCAATACTTAATTACAACAAAAGCACTAATAATAACGCTTGTTTTCTACTGCAGTATCAAATTTGACCGTAAACGGAGACATTGTTTATCTCCGCTATCAACGTAGCATACATTTGATTATTAAGGTTTGTAAATAAACATATAATATTCAAGGTCAATATGTCGGGGAAATCATTAGCACAAATGTGAATTGCGCTAAATTACGTCGCGAATGCGCATTCAGACAGATACCATGCTACGCGACGAAACCCAACATGCTAATTATGCTAGAGAAAAACATACGTAGCCGTACGTAATTAAACAATATGCCATGGTCGAAATTTAGGTCCGAATTACTCAAGGATTTCGACAATATCGATATCAGGACTGTGCTCGAGACGGACTTAAAAACAACGCGACAGGGCCCCCGACAAACGTTAACCGAGTTTATTATTCATAAGCAACGTTTTGCGGCCACGCGAGTACGTTGTTGTTTACCGGAGCAACAACTTCTGCGACAGTTAACGGGCTTTTACCATAACCAGCGGGTTTTGCAAATGCGGACGCACCACCTACTCCGTGCCGATATTGCAGCGAGCGACACTGGCACCGCCGGTGCCCAAACAGATCGTCGGTATCGGGAAACGCAATCGGCTAGGAGGGAATTAGTCCGCCCCTCCAGCCCACAACAGAACTAAACAGGGCGCAGCGTTTTAGATGACGTTTCGTTTAAAACGATCTTGGCACTTTTTCGGCACCACACCCCTCTTATCGGAATGGTGGGGACGCCGCAGTAAATTCGGATGTAATCAGGGTATCGGAGTTCGAACACGCTGCCGACACGAACGACCAAAGCGTGAGTCAAGTGTTCGAAATTTTTTCGGGCACATTTGGAGAGGGGGTGTCAGTCGAACCGGCAAGTTCATTAATGGCAGTTAACACTATCAGTGGGCAAACCAACGTCGTGGTTAAGAACCAGCTGCCTCCCGTTCGAACCGTAAACCACCCGAGTAATGGCCAACAAAGTCGAGTTAGAATTCGAAACTGCCTTCGTCACAGCCCTACTCGACTCACAGGCGCATAAATCGTATGTAAAACCGGCAATTGCTTACAAATACGGAACTGTTTATAAAGGACACACTGACGCGGTTAGACTAGCGGACGGACACGCCGCCACGTTTACCGCCAAAATCGCAGATTTAGAAGTGCGTTTTTCAGTGGTTATTTTAGACGACCCGTGTTGCGATGTATTACTTGGCCATGATTTTCTGATTGATCAGAAAGTCGCCTGGGACTACTCAGCAGGAACAATACACTTAGGCTCTAAGAAACTACAACCGCTTGTTGGAAATCGGGCGCACGACACGCGATCCGCAAACCACATCTGACGCATTTAGATATAACCGGCGACCTACGAACGCGCGCGTTATTAACACAGACGATATGTAATTACGCAGCGGTCTTTAACGATACGGTGAGTCGCACAAAATTGATCGTACACGACATTCTACTGAAAAGACCCGCTCCTATCGCACTAAAACCGTACCCCTATCCCCTACATAAGCAGGAGGTTATTGACGATATGGTAAACGACATGGAGGCGCATGAGCACCGATCGTGCTGGCCAAGAAGAAGAACGGGACTTTTCGTTTATGTATAGATTATCAACTTAAAGTCGGGTTATTGTCAATGCTCTTTAAATCAAAAAGCTCGTAAGTTTACGGCATTAGAACGAGAAGGGGCTTGTTTCAATTTCGTGTACTACCGTTTGGACTCAAAAATTCGCCTATGACTTTTGTAAGACTTGTGAATGAAGTACTTGGAACATATCTAGATGATTTTGCCCAAGTTTACTTGGACGATATAATTATTTATTCAAGTAGTTTAGAAAAGCATTTAGAACATTTAGGCAAAGTTCTAGAACGATTACAGTGACACGGGCTGACATGTCACACAAAAAAGTGTAAAATAGGGTTTTCCGAAATTTCCTTTTTGGGCCATATTGTACACGGTGAAGGCATAGACAAGCAGCCCGAAAAACTCGAGTCTATCCGCGTCCTGTCGGTCCCACGGAATATCTACGTAGATGTCTCTGCATATTTAATTGGTATTGTCAATTCGTCGACAACTACGCCGCTGAAAAATCTACTAAGAAGGGACGAAATGGTTGTAGACGGAAGACCATCAAAGAGCTTTTGAACAGGTAAAAAAGGCCCTGTGTGAGTCCTCGCGTCTCCTGACTACGCCAAAACTTTCTGCCTTCAAACCGATGCGAGTGAAATGGGCGTGGGAGCAATACTCTTTCAACGCGGAAATGAACTGGGAGAGAGAAAAATAATATCCTACGCCAGTAAGAAACTATCAAAAACGCAGAAACGTTACGCCTCCGTAGAACGAGAATGCTTAGCAATTATATGGGCGACTGATAAATTTCGCCCGAACTTATAATATTCTCCGTTCGAATTATTTACAGATAATTCCGCGTTGACTTGGCTATACAGAGCAAACGACATCAATTCAAAATTAACTAGGTGGGCGCTACATCTAGGCAATTTGAATTTTACAACGACGACACATGTACCCGGGAAACACAGCGAGGGACCAGACATGTTGCCACGTTACCCGACCGCGTGACGAAGAGTTACTCGACAACAATCTGGTGGGCGCACCAACGACGATAACACGCGGGCCACTCTTGACAATGTTTTTGCCTTAACCGAAACAAACGGCGCATCAGATAAACGGTCGTTTACGGAGGAGGGGGGGAGATACAAGAGTGGCAAAACGACGATCCGTTTCTTTCATCCATCACGAAACAATTACTCAAGATGAACGCCAGGAAAATCGATAAGGAGTCCAGCGAGAACAACAACAAATATTTCATGTTAAACGGACTTATACGCAATCGTATGGGCGTAGACACACCAGCTGTAATACCAGTAGCCAAATCACAGCGTGTGATTTGGCGATACCACGACGATGCACTGGCGTGTCATCCAGAATTGGAAAGAAACCTACCGAGCGATCAAACAGCGTTTTTATTGGAAGGGCCTGAAAAACATAGTACGCGAGTACGTAAAATCGTGTGATATTTGCGCGTGTACAAAGGCCCTAAATAGGCGTTCCAATGATCCTCTAACTTCGCTCAAACAAAGACAACCGTAGGAGGTCATTAGTATCGACTTAATGGGTGAGTACTCCAGAACACCAAGGGGAAAAACGAACCTGTTAGTAGCAACTGACTGTTTCAGTCGCTGGACCGAAGCGTACCCGATAGGCGCAGCGACTACAAAGACGATTCACGTTTTGGGTACCCCCGCGTAGTGATTCGCGACAACGGACGGAATCTGGTTTCTAAGGAAACGATCAACGTGATAAACAGATGGGGAGGCAGAAGCCTGGACCACACCTATTTATCATCCGTGCGCAAATCCGGTAGAACGAAAAAATCAGGAGCTAAAAAAAGGTCTTTACGCCCTACTAGTAGAGGGCGACCATAGCACCTGGGACACGAAAATACCGTCGATACTATTTGCGTTGTGTAATCGTCGTAATGAAAAACCGGTTAACTGCCTTCCGTACACGTTCTNTGAAAAACCGGTTAACTGCCTTCCGTACACGTTCTCGGCCGAGAGGCGAAACGACCCAATGACTGGGCGGACGTGCATGTAATCACGCCAGACCGGAAAAATTATAGATAACATTCCGACGAAACACGTAGTAAAACCTTTTACGGTTGGAAACGTGGTGTATTATAAGGCAAACCATTTATCCTACAAACAAAAAAAATTTTGTGTTGGCTTCGCACAGAAGTGGTGAGGCCACCAGCTACACCGGCGCCTCCAATGCCCGCGCCAAGGACCCGTCCAGCATCACTATCAGAGATCGTGCGACACTCCTCCACAGCAACAAGCACCGCAGCTGGACCGGCCCCCATGAAAGTCGAGGACGCCGTGGACGATTTTGGACGCGCCGTGGACGGGTTCCTTGCAGACTCTCCTTCTCCTCCCCGTTTCCATCGTGAAACCCTTCGTCCCGAGTAATCGGGCGAGGAGTTTCCTTCTTTTTTTTCCCCTTCGGTCCTGACGTCATCCGTAGGTTACGGATGACCGGACCGAATAGTCCATTCCCTCTTGCCAACGAGACTGAAGGTTTCAATCTAATACGGTAAGTGTTGAGCGCAATATCAATGACCACACACACAAGGAACATGGCGGTAAGTCAATAATTGTTTAATACTTATAACTACTGTGTATGATGCGACAATTTGTCTACAATTATCGATTCCGACGTTGACCTTAACTGGTTTGCCTTTTTCTTGTGTGCTGTTTGTGTTTCATTGTTTTTTTTTTTGGATTGCGGCGAGTGTGCTCATTACCGATATTACCGACGACAGAAGGGTAGTTGCCCATTGTTACATACGTATAACATTGTTCGAATTAAGGAAAATATCTAATATTATAAGAATCAACTATTGTCTTCCGACGTTGTTTCTTTGTTTTTACTGTTGTGCTTGTGTAAATATATATACACATAGACATAAATATATAATATATATATATACCTTGAGTGCCGTACCATTTGGATACGCGTTAACATTTAATGAATAATATTGTTAAAAAATGAAAAAGATTATTCCTTTTTAAATTTCAACTTTTAAACTATGCTTTGCTCACAAAAAATATTTTAAAAAACTTGCATTCATGGTAAAATGCATTTTTGCAAAATTCAGAATTATGCTTAAAATATTTCATTCATATATATCCTATACTTTTAAAATTACTCTGCTTTTGCGTTTAATTTTTATAAAGCTAGATGTTTAAGTCAATTGCATTTATTTTTCAGACCAAATAATGAAGTACATGGTGAAGAACATGAATCTAGTAAAAGTCAATCTTATGTTGACAATATTGTAAGTTTTAATTCTGTGGATGATCTTTTTTTTACAATTAATTTCTTTAAATTAATACAAAAATTATATATTTATTTTTAATTTTTACTAATGATACGACCCTATTTTGGTACATATCTCATATGCCTGTTAACAATAACCCAACATTTTAATTAGTACATATCCCATTAGAAAAAACTAATTAAAATATAATGGAATCAAATAATAATGTTTAATAATAATAANAAAAATATTTTAAAAAACTTGCATTCATGGTAAAATGCATTTTTGCAAAATTCAGAATTATGCTTAAAATATTTCATTCATATATATCCTATACTTTTAAAATTACTCTGCTTTTGCGTTTAATTTTTATAAAGCTAGATGTTTAAGTCAATTGCATTTATTTTTCAGACCAAATAATGAAGTACATGGTGAAGAACATGAATCTAGTAAAAGTCAATCTTATGTTGACAATATTGTAAGTTTTAATTCTGTGGATGATCTTTTTTTTACAATTAATTTCTTTAAATGAATACAAAAATTATATATTTATTTTTAATTTTTACTAATGATACGACCCTATTTCGGTACATATCTCATATGCCTGTTAACAATAACCCAACATTTTAATTATTACATATCCCATTAGAAAAAACTAATTAAAGTATAATGGATTCAAATAATAATGTTTAATAATAATAAAATAAAATAATAATAATAATAATCTATGGATTCTATGTTGAGAATGTCCATCAAAGAGATGACAATGTGCTATAAACATCATGATAATTATAATTTTTAAATCACAATTAAATAATAATAATAAGTTCAAATGATGTTAAACATTCATATGGTAGGTCTCAACTGCTTGTTGCACTACATTTTCACAAACAGTTTTCTGTAAGAATGTGTATATTAACATTGTCAGCGGGTCCCTGTATATCTATCTGTAATAAGCATGAATGCTGACCAAGCTGTTAAATGTTATTGACTGAATCAAGATTTGCGCAAAAATGTGACCGTATCACTTATTTAAATCCAATTTTTTAATTATTAGTTGATTTATTTTAGCTGAAAAGTGAAAAAGCATCAATGGAGCGTTTTCTAAATGCTAAATTTGATAAATTTAATGAAATAATTAATCAAGCATCAAAAAAAGTTAAAAAATTGAAGAAAACACTTCTAAAAGTAAATATATTTTAAGTAAAAATAACTTAACCACAGGTTAATACATATTGTATTATTTTCACACAATAATAATTTTGTTTTATTAACATTTACTATAATTAAAAATATATATATATAGAATGTATTAGTTTTTAAATTAGTTCTAAAATCATGTTTTATTAACCTATATTTTTGTATTAAATTATATTGAAAAAATTGTTTTCCGCAGCATAAACTCGCCAATATAGAATTAGCAAAAAAGAATTTAGATTACGAAAATACTTTAAAAATACAGCAAGGTGATTATATAAGTATATATATTGTTATTAACTTACTTTATTTAATTTTACACCTGTTTAAGCAAAGTCGCATGATATTCTTAGTAAGTAACATGAAATATACTGTGTCTTAATCTGGACTTGTTTACCTGTATAAAATATATAAGTGAATAACCTATGAACTCCATTTATTTATTTTTTGGATGGAGTTCACGTAATGGGGTATAAATTAATTTTGGGCTTATATATTACTATTGTATTAAATTGAACATTAGAAACATTGGTAACAATATCATGTCCATATGGTCATTGATTATTAACTAATTATCAAAAGCAGTTACATATAAACATACATTTTTGTTTATAAAACTTTACATTTTTTTATATTATAACAATTATAATTAAAATCTCTAAGAAAAATATAATTTATAATGCAATGTCTTAATTGATTTTTATAAATATTTTAGAAATATCTTCATCACGTTTTAAAAATAAATAAATCTTATTTCTTTTATTAAATATATTGATAAGAAAAAATATTAATTAAAAAAAAACACCTATGGATTTAAGACATTTTTGAAAAAATTAATTTATCTTATTTTTCCTAAACTTTCAATTGCATTAAGAATAATGTTAAATTACATTAAAAAGAGGTAATTATCAAATTATTATCATTTGTCATTCTATTTTCTATAAAAATTTTTAAGTTAAACTTTGTTAAGTCATTTAATAGCTTCAACATACATTAATTATTATCTTTTTTTTTTGAGAAGTTAATTTTTTTGTTTGAATTATTTTTCTAGATCAAATATCAAAAATTGAAGAAACGATCAAAGCAAAAGTCTATAGTGTTCTAGAAAGTGATTTATTATGTCCAATTTGTAATGAATTAATGGTTAAGGTATTATTTTTACATTTAAATCCATTAATAGCGTAAATATAACACGTCATCATGTTAAAAGTTCTTAGCAAATTTATTATCTTACTTTGGTTAAAAAATGCATTATGGAATACTTTTTAATCAATTTTAAGATTGTTAAATATTATAAAGTGATATTAGAGATCTGAAAACTTTTTGAACTTTCTAATCCTAGAATTGTAAATAAAATTTCTGAAAAGTAAAGCTAAAATATTTTAACTAAAAAAATTATTTCTGGTGAAAATTTCTTTTTTATTAGTTGAAAAAGTAAATAAATGTGTTTAAAAATCAATTTTAAAATTCATATAGTAAAATCTAGTAAAGTAATTTAAAATGCTTTTCTTTAGGTAAATGTACATATTTTTATTTTTAACTAACAATTAATATGATTTCTAAACATATGAAGACACAAATTTTCAATTTAAAATAAAATTTGCTCAATCTTCAAAGATAAAAAACGATTTTACAATTACTTCATTTACTTACATTTACATTACTTTACCATGACGTGTGACATTTTAAAGTAAATTTGTTTATAAAAATAAAATGCAATTTAAGTAAAATGAAAAATATTACTATGTCATTGATATATATTATTATTTTATAATTTAGTAACTATTTTATCCAAAATTTCAATGAGTTTTAAAATTTATTTTTGATAAATTAGCTTCTAAGAGACTGAAAAAAAAATCACATACTTCATAATTATACCAACAAAATTATTTTATTTTAGAATTTGGGTTTGAAGTTTAAATAAAACATATTTTATATCAAAATGTTAGTTCAAGAAAACTTGAATTTTACGCATCCATAAATTAGATTAAAAAAATGATTTTAATTATCTCATTATCATTGGGAAATAAATAAAATTTAGCCATAAATTGTGAAAATGAATATTTTATATAAAATTTAATATGTAAATTTGTTTTTTTTTTTAGGCGTGTACAACTAATTGCAACCATACATTTTGTGAAGTTTGTTTAGATACTCATGTTGCAAAAAGGCCTTTGTGTCCTATTTGTCTAACTTGTGTTAGAACCAAAACTCTTTGTCTAGCTTTGGATAACTTTATTACTAATATTTGTAATCTTCTTGGGAATGAAATAAAAGAACATCGGGAAAAAGTACAACAAGAAAGTAAGTATATTTGAACATTTATTAACTTATATTTATTGTTATAACTATTTTTAGAATTGACAGTTAATGTCCCACGACTAAAGTATCCGCTACAAGTTGCTAGAAGAGGTGGTATAAGAGGTGGTAGAAGAGGTGGTAGAAGAAGTTTAAGATAATTTACCTTATTGTTAAAAATAAAATATTTTCTATAAATTATCTCACCTATTGTATTTTAAATTTTAATTAAAAGATATTTGATACCAAGCAAAATGATAGGTACTTTTTTAACAACTATGAGCACAATAACATATTATTTAATGTTTTTAACACAAATATAAATAAGCATAAGTATTTTAATTATATTTTACATGAACTCTATTAAATAATAAAATAAAACCTTGGGAGCTAGAGCTATTGGTTGGTACATAAGAATTTTGTTCGCCACCCGGTTCCTACTAAAGCGGTTGCCCATATGACTAATAATAAAAAATAACAATAAATTTCAATGATAGATTTCTAACCATAAAAAAAAGAAAGATTACCATTCATCTAATTAATATGTTTTTTTCTGTATAATATGATTATTGGGAGAAAGTGTTAACGGAAAAAAGTGCAACCCCATCGTACACAGTAAACCCTTTTTCTTTTTTTACTACCGCCTGAATGATTGTGGGCCGCCCTGGAACTGCCGTTAGGCATTACTTCAGGGCGGCCCACGCCGTCTATAAATCACACCACCACGTTGTGAATCAGCTCTTGATTAACTTCGGGCTGATTCACTCAGGGATCCGTTGCCCAGGTTTCACTGCGTGCAGGTGGGGGCAGGACTTCGCGTGGGTTGGCCAAATAATTCACAACACAATACATAAAACACATAAAATACCTACGGCGCCAGTAGCGCCGCAGGTCATCCTACCCTTGGCAGTCTCTGCCACAGGCGTTCGNCACTTGGCAGTCTCTGCCACAGGCATTCGGCCTCCTCTTTTTGGCTCATCACCGATTCGGCGATCGCCTGAACTAGAGACCACCCCTCCTGGCTTCTCAGAATCAGGTCTCATCATGGACTCGACGCCGAACGCGGACCCCGAGCGAGACTCCAACTCTTCCCGCTCGCTGGCCCACGCCTCGCACAGGAAGAGCGTATGCGATGCATTATCCGCTTCTCCCAACAGTGATGGCATGTCGGCGCGGATTCTTCCTCGGCCAGTCGTCGGCGCCAGTTGGACACGGTGATGTTCCGGAACTGCAGCCGCTCCTCCGCGCGAAGCGGTTGACCGGTTCTTTTCCGGAGCTCGTGTCCGTTGGCGCGTTCGACGGTCAGCAGGTCCGCGGGCGGCAGAGAAGCCAGGACTCTTGCCTCCACTCCGGAGACGATGCGATAGGCGCACACGGTCCGGATGGTTCCAACGGGTACTTCAACCTACAGAATTGTTTGCGTACATAAATAAACAATAATATACAGTAAATTTATTATTATTATTATGCGTAAAATGTTCACCAAATCGTTTCCACTGGCACCCTCACCACCACACAATGGGACCAAAGGCTGATTTAGCCGGCCAAAAGTACCATTTTTAAATCAACTAATAAACATTTTTTTTTTTAATAATTTTTTTTTATTATATCCTTATAAGGTCATGTACAAAAATTCAAGGCCAAAAATTGATACAGTAATGGTTGAGTGCTATTTAAATATCACAACACTGAATTTTTTTGTTTTTTTTCTAGGATTTTTATTATTTCTTCAATCATTTTTTCCTGCTTAATATATTGAAAATATATATATTTACAATATACAATATATTATGTTTATTAAAAACTTTATTTAAACTTAATTTTAACGAATCATTAGTTTTAATTACATCTAATTTTTACAACTTTTAAGCTGATTAAGTTGATTGAACTGATAAAACCAATGAAATTATTAAAATTACAATTTTTACGAAAATACACGTTTATTATAGGGATATTCTATTTGCACGGCTCAAATTCAATCTGACGCTTTTACACGTAAATGTAAAGCAAAATATAACTTTTTCATTTTTTTTATAATTTATCCGTATAAATTACAATATTAAATTACTGAATATCAATTATATAATGAATTTAATAATTATAATTAGTATTTANTGTATACTGAATTTAATAATTATAATTAGTATTTATTCATATAGGGTGATTTTTTTTATCATAACCCACTCAATTACTTAAAGAATAATAATAATTTAAACATTTTTTTTTATTACTGTCTTTAGTTACATATTATTCTTGAATTATTAAATATGTAATACTTTTTAAGTTCATCCCTTATGCCTGGTAAGGGTGTCAACTTTGTTTTTTTAAATGGGAACACATATTTTGAATTTAATAAAATGTTTGAGTTTTTAATTTAATAACAAATGGCATTTGAATTTTTAATATACCTTTATTTATTTATTAGATATAAACATTTAAAGTTTCAATTTTTTGAGTTAATATATAGGTATAATACACAAGGGATTACAAATACAGGTAGCTAATTGGTTTTTTATGATATTGCTATCACAGTCACGGATTGTNGTTTTTTATGACATCAATATTAGCAGATACACAGCATTGTTATTATAAATGGTAGTAAGGTACATTGTTGTGAGTTTATAAATACACTAACTGATAATACAGAAAGTATATCTATTGATAGTCATAATTGATAATAAAGAATCCGTGAATGTGATAGCAATATCATAAAAAATCAATTAGCTACCTGTATTTGTAATCCCTTGTGTATTATACCTATATATTAACTCAAAAAATTGAAACTTTAAATGTTTATATCTAATAAATAAATAAAGGTATATTAAAAATTCAAATGCCATTTGTTATTAAATTAAAAACTCAAACATTTTATTAAATTCAAAATATGTGTTACCATTTAAAAAAACAAAGTTGACACCCTTACCAGGCATAAGGGATGAACTTAAAAAGTATTACATAGTTAATAATTCAAGAATAATGTGTAACTAAAGATAATAATAAAAAAAAAAATTTTTATTTTTATTATTCTGTAAGTAATTGAGTGGGTTATGATAAAAAAATCACCCTGTATAGGGAAATAGTCTGATTTAAAAAAAGAAGTATATCCAATGAAAGATGTATATAAATAATACTTCTCATGAAAAAATTGTATTGATCCATACATTATTTAAATAATGTCTCAAAATATTTTTAAAAAATTTAGAAATATGACTCTTTAAAAGAAATAATTTTTGTTTTTACAGAAGGACACTCCTTTAAAATAATTTTAGTTGATTACTAGAGAGAAAATAGAAATGACTCATGCAGGTAACCATATTTAAATCCCACAAAATACTATATAATTAGTATTCTAATGAAAATGTTTAATGCATCTATTAATTTTATGAGATCCCTGTGTCTTTAGGCAGTTAAAGATGTGTTTAAGGGGTTTCAACACTTTTGAACAATTAGCAATTTTCCACTATAATTATTAATACATTATTAATCATATAAATCATATAGAAACTTATTGTTTTGCTCGACTTCGTCACGTCTAATTATAAATAATCGTTCCAAGATTATCTACATATGTTTTCACCAATTCGGCATTTTATTAGTTTTTAAACAGTTTTATGTCATTAACACTAATGTTTATTATAATATCTATACTATATTTGTATGTTGCCCACTATCCATATATTGTAAACAGGACAAGGCCGAATAGTTCTAGATCCAAACGTAATCATGTGTAATATCATTGAAATTAAATATCTCAATTACTAAGTCATTTGTCCAGTTTTTCTTGTCTATACTTGTCAATCTCTTAACTAATCTTAAGTATAAATATCATGTCTAGTATGTAAGTTTAATAAAAATAAAAATAAATATTATTACTACAAGTAATGAACAACTAAATGATCTAGAGTAAATATTGTGTTCACATTGTAAAATATGAGTCTGTAACAAAAATCAAAACGTAAAAATATGTATTCTATGAAATATTATCATAATAATTTAGAATTAAATTTATTCTAAACAAATATTATAAGCATGTGACCTGATTCAAAAAGTAATATAAAATACATTTTTATATGCATTACAATTTTATTAGAGTATTAATAATATAGTATAAATAATATAAATAAATGGTAATTATGGATATTTTAATAATGTTTATATTTTTAATTACATCAATTATCGCTAACTCTTGTACGCTCTTCTGTAACGAAAATACAGAAAAGATTAAGAAACTAAATGAAATTTTTGGTCATAAAAATTGGAAGGAGTTAACAGTAAATTATTATTATTATTATAATAATATCAATGAAATAATTAGTACATACCGTCTATTTAGACCCAATAATGACGATACAGAGATAGTAACCAGTAATAATTTAGAGAAAAAAATGAAAGATGGTTCAATGATACTGAATTCAATCTACTACAACATTGTTGAAAAATTTGATAATTGTCAAGATTAGAATAATAATAATTGTTATGATATAATTGTTATATTTTTCATAATACTGGCTTATTTTAAGATAACTAATTAGCAAACCTTTAAAATAAATAAAATCTATTATGAAAAATGTAAATTTATTAAATCAGTTATAGTGTAATACTTTCTATTTTAGAGTGAAATTATTTGTGTATAATTTATTTATCAATTTTTTAATTATGATTTTCACATTTTATTTTATCATAAGATGTATTATAATAAAAAATTAAAATTGTTCTTCATTAGTCGTAGTGTATACACGTGTTTATTTATCACATCATGAATTAAAATAATAAGCCAAATAATTTTATTATTTATTTTAATATTGCGTTTTTTGTTTAAATTACAAATTTGAATCCCCATCTGTGAGTAAACAAAGGGTCATATTTAGGAAAAATGTATTGGAAATAAAAGCGAAATCGCCTATAATATTTATAAAAAAAAATTCATTTTGTTTCATTGATTTTTCAACAAAAAAAAATATATAGTTTCAATAATATCAAATTTTACCAATTTTAATAACCACAATCCCTGTTTTTTGAGGTAATTTCTTCCTTATTTATTTGATGGGATTACACTGCGACCATAATGAAGTTGCATGATGATGTTTCGCTCGTCGCAAAACTATTGTGGGTTTGTGTTGCTGTTAAATTTAAAAAGATTTAGGCTTCGATATTTTTCTATATTTTTCATAATACTGGCTTATTTTAAGATAACTAATTAACATACCTTTAAAATAAATAAAACTTTATATGAAAAAAGTGCATTTATTAAACAAGTTATAGTATAATACTTTCTGTTTTACAGTCAAATTTTTTGTATAAGTTATATATCAATTTTTTAATTATAATTTTCACAATTTATTTTATCATAAGATATATTATAGTAACAAATTAAAATTGTTCTTCATTATTCGTAGAAATGTGTTTATTTATCACTAATAAAATAAT